GGACCAAACACAAGCAAATGGGACTGGATTAAATTGTGAAAACTGGGCGGCATGGACAAGTTGGGCCGAAGGGCCTGTTTCCATGCTGTAAAGCTCTGAGGCTCTAAACGTGAATATATATTAATATCATTTGGAGTTTAAAATAGAGGCAGATGGATTGCGGTTTCTGTTCTGTGAAGGTAACTTCTTTTTGAAGAAGCCAGAAAATCGATCGGAAAAGTAACCCAATTACATAATTTCTAAGAAAACGTGAGACTAATTATCAACTTAACCTGTGCTGCTCATTACTGAAGGGCTTATAGTGTACAGAAAACAGAACAAATAATCAAGGGGAACACTAGTACCTTAATTTAAATTCAGTTCAGACAGATAAGCTTTCGGTTTCACCTGAGGGAAATAATCCGGTTTTTGACTGAGATGAACAGTTTTACCCTGGTGGGTGGCCAGCTGAGTTCCAGGCTGGGAGAATTTGGATAGAGGTTGTCAAACTGTCAGAACTGAAAAGTGGTTAAGGCCATCGGAACGGGGAAGAAATCTGAAACAGTCTCGATGGTCCAAAGAGGAAGAATTAGAAATCAAACAAGGGTAGGACTTATACAATTAATGGTAGGGCCCTGGGTAGTGCTGTAGAACAGAGGGACCTGGGGGTGTAGGTACATAATGCTTTGAAGTTTGTGTCACATATAGACAGGGTGGTTAAGAAAGCGTTTAGTACGCTTGCCTTCATTGCTCAGACCTTTGAGTATAGGAGTTGGGACATCATGTTGAGGTTGTACAGGACGTTGGTGAGGCCTGTCCTGGAGCACTGTGTCCAGTTCTGGTCGCCCTGTTATAGGAAGGATATTATTAAACTGGAGAGGGTTCAGAAGGGATTTACCAGGATGTTGCTGGGATTGGAATGTTTGAGTTGCAAGGATAGGCCGGGACTTTTTTCACTGGAGTGTAGGAGGTTGAAAGGCGACCTGATGAAATTTTATAAAATCATGAGGGATATAGTTAGGGTTAATGGTAGCTGCTTTTTCCCAAGGATGGGGGATTTGAAGACACATTTTTAAGGTGAGAGGAGAGAGATTTAAAAAAGACATGAGGGACAAATTTTTTACACAAGAGAGTGGTTCCTGTGTGGAGTGAACTTCCTCAGGAAGTGGTGGATGTGGCTACAGTTACAACGTTTAAAAGACATTTGCATAAGTATGTGAACAGGAAAGGTTTGGAGGGATATGGGCCAGGAACAGGCAGGTGGGACTAGTTTAGTTTGGGTTTGTGGTCAGCATGGACTGGTTGGACTGAAGGGTCTGTTTCTGTGCTGTATGATTCTATAAGTAAGAAGTTAAGAATTTATAAGAGGATTGATATTTCCCTGGGATTGAGTATCTGTAAAGGTGGAAGTGGTTTAGAGACAATCTGAGAAAAAATATTTTCACCCAGAGGGTGGTGGAAGTAGGGAATGTGCTGCCTGAGAGGGTGGGGGAGACAGGATTAGCATATCATAGAATCCCTACAGGATGGGGACAGGCCATTCAGCCCATTGAGTCCTCACTGACCCTCTGAAAACCTTTCCACCCAGACCCATCCCCATAATCCCACATTCCCATGGCTGATCCACCTAACCTACACATCTGTGGACTGTGGACCAGAGCACCCGGAGGAAACCCACGTAGACACAGGGAGAACGTATGAACTCCACACAGACAGTCACCCAAGGGGGGATCATTGAACCCGGGTCCCTGGCGCCATGAGGCAGCAGTGCTAACCACTGAGCCACCGTACCACCCAAAGAGTTGTTTAGTGTTTGTTGGTCAGTATAGGCCTAGAACAAAGAACAGTAGAGCACATGCCGACCATGGTGCTCTTCTAAACTAATTCCGTCTGCCTCCACATGGTCTATATCCCTCTATTCCCTGCCTCTTCATGTGTCTGTCTAAATGTCTCTTAGACATAACCGCTTCTGCCACCTCCCCTGGCACCACATTCTAAAACTGTGTAAAAAACTTGTCTTGCACATCTCCTTTAAACTTTCCCGCTCTCACCTTAAACCCATGCCCTCCGAATATTTGACATTCCCACCCTGGGAAAAGGACTCCGATTATCCACGCTATCATAATTTTATATACTTCTATCAGATCACCCCTCAGTCTCCGTCGCTCCAGCGAAAACAATCCAACACTGTCCACCCTCTCTCCTTGTAGCTAATACACCCCCATCCAGGCAACATCCTGGTAAACATCTTCTGCACCCTCTCCAAAGCCTCCACATCCTTCCTATAGTGTGGTGACCAGGACTGCACACAATACTCCAAATATAGCCTTAATAAAGTTTTATACATCTGCAATATGACTTGCTAACATTTATACTCAGTGCCCCAACCGATGAAAACAAGCGTGCCATTAGCCTTCTTTACCACCTTATCCACTTGTGTTGCCACTTTCAGGGAGCTAATCACTTGCATCCCAAGATCCCTCTGTATATCAATGCTCCTCAGGGTCCCTGCTATTTACTGTATACTTCCCTCTTGCGTTTGACCTCCCAAAGTCACACTTGTCTGGATTAAACTCCATCTGCCATTTCTCCACCAACTTCCCAACTGATTTATATCCTGCTGTATCCTTTGACAAATCTGCTCCCTATCCACAGCTCCACTAATGTTCCTGTCACATGCAAACTTAATCTATAGAATCCCTACTGTGTGGAAGCAGGCCATTTGGCCCATCGTGTCCACACTGACCCTCCAAATAGCATCCCGACCAGACTCACTGTTATCCAATTGCCCTGCATTTCCCATGGCCAATCCACTGTAACCTCCGCATCTTTGGACTGTGGGAGGAAACCGGAGCAACCAGAGGAAACCCATGCAGACACGGGGAGAACGTGCAAACTCGACACAGACAGTTGCCCGAGGCAACCCTCATCAATGATCTTTGTCACTTCCTGAACAAACTGAACCAAGTTTGTGAGACAGGATGTCACCCACCCCGTACAAAGCCACACTGACTATCCGAAATAAGTCCACCCTTTTCTAAATGCAGCTAAATCCTGTCCCTAAGGATCTTCTCCAATAATTTCCCCATCACTGGGTGTGGGGCTCACCAGCTTTTAATTTCCTGGATTAGCTCTGTTCCCAAAGGAGCAACGTTGGCCATTTCCC